CTCCATGTGTGGCCCCTGTTGATGCACCAAATTAGTGGAGACTTTGGTACAACAGAAAATTTTAAGTTTGTGACATTCGCTAGATTGCTCCAGTCACTAGTGTGGATAAGTATGTAAATGGATAGGGACATAGAAGCAAACACAAGATGTACGTGGTTCACTCAGATTGGCTACGTCCACGGAGTAGATGAGTTTTCATTAATTGTGAAGGGTTTACACAAGTACATAGGTTCAAGCTCTCCTTTAGTGAGTACAAGTGAATGATTTAGTACAAATGACATTAGGAAATATTGTGAGAGAATGATCTCTTTTTATAGAAGAGAGTTTCTAGCTTTGTTCTGACATTGACACGTGTCATGTTGTGATTGGCTTCCGATGTTGACACGTGTCGCGCTATGATTGGCTTCTGATGTCGACACGTGTCGAGCTGTGATTGGTCTTCTGGTTGGAGGGAAACTCTTTTAGGTCCTTGATGGTATAACGTTGACCGGTGCTCAGTAGTTTCGGGATTGGTCAAGTATGGTACAAACAGCCCCTAATACATGATCTCGCATGAGAAGGATAGGCATGTTGGAAATCCCACATCGGGAGTAACATAACAATTTACAACTTATAATTACATGGTTCCATTCATAATTACACCGATATCTTTTAAGACAACCTCACTTGTTTTGAGCTAGTAGGTGGCTACGTTGATGATAATTTCATTATTAATAAACATGTCATGTCTTCATTTTGTTGGGGTATTCTCGTGTCTTAGAAGACAAAACGTTGTTTTCTCCATCAATCTTGAACACTAGCCGAGTACGTGGGAGGAAACAATGACAAGCTAAGCACATGATATATAAACAATCTCTTGGCGACAGAGAAGAAAGAAAGAAGAAGGTACCAGAAAGGAAACACAGGGCGACAACAACAAGTAACATGTTAACTGAAAATTAAAAATTGAGTATATTATGTATAACTAATGTGATTTCTGGGCGACAAAAACAAGTAACATGTTAACTGAAAATTAAAAATTTAGTATTATGTATAACTAAAGTGAGATTGCTAAAATTACTATATTCGTCGTCAGGCTAACAAGTAGCGCACCGATTGACCATTATAAGAAAGACTGCTTATAAGAATTTGGACAGTTTGAAGAATTGCCTGGTGTTAAATATGTTCTGTTTCTATGAGTAGAACCAGTCAAGATTTTTCCAATTTCCGAAACTTGTGTGATTTCAATCCTTAATTATTTTGAGACTTCACCTGGAAAAGGGAGGTTTCTTATATCACTCTGTATATATAGAGACATTTGTGATCATTTAATTCTTAACTTAATAGTTTCACATTCGATGCTTCGTATTCATTCTTTACAGTTCCTTTAACAAGAGGGATCCCTATTTTTCTAAAAAAATGGGACCCTTTATTGACCGTTGAATTGGCTTTAATGAAATTGTGTGGTTGAGATTAAATCACAGGACATACAATCTCAACCACACAATTTCATTAAAATCAAATACAACGGTAAAGAGGATGTCCCTATTTTTTTATAAAAATGAGGATCCCTCTTCTCAAAGGATTCCTCATTCTTTATATACGGCGATAAATATAAAGTTTTTGAGAAGGATAATGTCAATAGATTATAATTTTAAATTAAATTTGTAAATTAAATGATGTGTCATAAATAAAAAATTAACACATTAATCAATACTTAAATAATAATCTAATCATTAATGTTTACATCATTTAACAAAAAATCTTAAAATATTCTGACACCCATGCGATACTGCACGGTCATCGTTATGATCCTCCTCACACAAGCACATTGACATGCTAGGGTTTTAAATTTAGTATGTTTTTTTATTTGTTTGCTGCATGCCTGCATAGTCGGTATGAAAATATATAAAATTATTTATACGGTTGTCGTTTATATTGCCATGTTACTTCCCAAATAAGAGAGGGATTTTTCAAAGGAAAACTAATGAAAAGGGCTTGAAAACTTTGAGTTTTAATGATAAGGACAAAATAAAGGGTAAAGTGAATAGTACTAGGATTGACTTTTTAGTGTAAAAATGTGGTTTTTCGTTAAAGTGAACAGTACCGGGTGCTTTTCGTTAAAGTTCCCATTTTTCAATGGGTTGAAAATATGGGACGGAATACAATATTGCATTATATATTTGGAGAAAATTGTCCTTTTCTAACGTGTCTTTTCAAATTGTATAATAGTATAAGTTCGTATATTTCGTGTTCCCCGATCTATCTTTCTAGTATGGTCCCACTCCGATATCACATGCAGTCCACTGATTCAAATTATACAACAGCCCTACCATTAACGTGAAAAATGGTATAAGAGTAATTGTGATCTATATATATATATATATATATATATATATATATATAAGGGCCCTTGACCCAACTAATAATTTAATATGGTACCTCACGCGTTTAGATTGAGTCTATATTAGACTCACTTTAACCTTGGGCTAAAACCCAATTTTTTCCTCCCCCAAAATCCAACCCAACCCAAAATCTAAACCAAACTTAAAACCAAAAACTTAAAAGGGGGCCAAATACCGGCCAGATTTTAACCCACAAATTGAAGTGGGGCCCACGGGTGAGAGTGAAAAGTGGGTTGTGAAGCCCATACCCCAAAACCCAGATGCCCAAAGGCTACTTTTCTTCATCCAACGGCCAGGTTTAATTGGACCGTTGGTTAATCCAACAGTCCACGTTCAAATATTTTGCTGTTGTTTTATATTTATATATTTATTGAATCCAACAGCTTAAATCGAATATAATCAAATCTAACGGTAAAAAAAAAGATCTAACGGTCCCAATTTAAATCCAACGGCTAAAATAATTTAAAAAAAATATTTAACTCAAAATTCAACCAAAAACTCTATAAATACCTATGTATTTGTTCAAACATCCACACAAAACTAGTTTATGTGGTTTATCATGATTTTCATATTCTTCCGTAGTGTTTAATGTATTGATTTAGTGATTTTTCAAAATTTATCAGAATTTAAATATTTTTAGGTTAAAATGTTCATAAAATTAATTTAGGATAGTCTACATAATTTTTTTTTTATAAAAATAAGTTAATTTTTTAAAAAATGCCTAAATTCATTATTTAATAATCTGGGCTAAAATTTTAGGTCATACGGGTTGGAGCAGAAAAACAGTTTTTGGGCTAAAACCTAAATTTTCTAGGCTAAATATTTTTGGGTTTTAGGCCAGGGTTGGAGATGGTCTTACAAGCAAGCACTCTTATATAAATATGAGTGAAGTGCTAATTTAGTCCATGAATTATCACTTCAGTGAAAATTAAGTCATTGAATTATTTTTTGGTAAAATAAGTCCATAAATTCATTAAAAATTGCTAATTTCATCTCTACTATTATTCAAAGCTATTTTATCCAATTTTTCATCAACTTAAGTCAAACTTGACACACTTTAGAGTGTAATACTGTTATTTTCTCGCCTATAAGCCCTTAACATTTCATATAGGTTGTGAATCTTACGTTTAATTTACCCTCCAAAGTTAACTTACACTATTTCTTATGAAAAACTACCACTTTACACTCCAAAGTTAACTCCATACACTATTTCTTTATGGAAAACTACCAATCTACCCTTCAATGTGTATCACATGCAAGTAACATGACTTAAATTGACGAAAAATTGAACATAGTAGCTTTGAATATAATATTAGGGATGTAATTAGTAGATTTTTATAATTCAACGACTGATTTTTCTAAAAAATAGTTTAGGGACCTAATTTTCATTGAGGTGATAATTCATGGACTAAATTGGCAGTTCATCCTATAAATATATATAATTAAGATATGTGGACACACTTTCTTGACACATATTTTAATATTTATTTTGTAGGACATATTTCGTAATGTATTTCAAGGATCCAAATAGTTTATATTTGAGTACATTATTCATAGATCATCATTACAAAAGATTAGACAAATCCAAAATCATTAAGACATTTATTTATAGTTAAAAAAAATGAACAAATACATTTATACAAAGAAACACTAAGTTTCCAAATGATCATTTGATTTCGGATTTAAATGATTTTTAATAGAAATGATATTTAAAGTAAGACACAAAAGATAGACGGTTGGATCGTTAAAATACATTATATAATGAAATCCATAAAAATATATATCAAAAAGCGGGTGTCCCCTAAAGTCTACAAAACGAACATCAATTTTCTAACAAGCGTTTGTTTCTAGCATTGCTCTCTTTGAGCTGCACTACGCGTTAAAGAGCGATACTCTCTCTTTACAATAAGCTGACATACATGATTTAGCTAGTTTTGGTTGTTTCTTGGCACTATAAATGTGCATTGGGCCAAAATGGTTTGGACCTACCCACGCCTATTAGCCCACCAACTATATTAATGGGCTAGTACTCAGTCCAGCCCACTAGTTTATTGGTTCCAAGGTCCAGTTTTTATTTCCCAATAACTTTTTTCAAATATTATTTTTACATTTTTTGTCATATAGAGAAAACTAATTTGAATAGTTCTGCGGGATTGGCTCCACAAGTTTGAGTTTGACTATTTCTTTGAACTTTTTCAAATGTTTCAACTATACTCTACGCGTTTTGACAAGTTATGGTCCAACATTTGCTAGAGGTCCAAATCATTGCACTTGCATGGGAACTTCCCTCAAAAATTTAGAACATCATTCATAGATCACCCTTACAAAAATTTAGATAAATCCAAAATTATTAAGACATTTATTTGTAGTGAAAAAAATGGACATGGTTTCCTAAACCCTTAATCCAACTGTCACATGGTTTTAGATTTGGATGAGGTTTGGTAGATATAATTTTTGAGGAAAGATATAAAAGATAGACGGTTCAAATCATTAAAATACATTATGGAGTGAGCCTGCAAAAATGTGTGTCAAAAACTGTGCAAAAAAAAGTGATGCCACAAAGTCGTCCCTTATATATATATATGTATATATATGAATGTATTAAACCTTACTTTCTCCATTCTTCCAAAAAACTTTTGCAAGACAGAAAACATGTCTGGTGCATTTGAGGTGGATAAGGATGGCAATTTGGTATTCCATCAAAATCAAAATAGTGAACCTGATGAGTTCCAACAATTTCAGAAACAATTCAATTCTTCAATGCAATGGGGAGTGGCCTTATCTGTTGGTAAGCATCCTCAAACTATAGCATCTGCAAAAAACTGCAGGCAGGTAACAAATGTTTAGAAAAATATGATGTTTCTGCTTTCTACTTGCTGCAAACATGTTTTCAGATGTTAATGAAAAATTCGTGTTTCGGATCAACCTGCTGAACACGAAAATGGCTTTAACACGTCTATGTAAATCTTGTAACTCGTAAAACACGCGATGAGCTATTTATATAATTGCAGGTGAAACAACAACTTTAAGTCTTTAACCCTTTTACTTTAACATAAATATTAGTTCATGTGTAATTTTGTATTTATGAACATTAAACGGCTAATCTTGCAAAACGTTTGATAATCGTGTCATGTTCGGGTTTGAAAAATTGACCTGGTTAATGATCGGGTGATGAACACAACCAGGAATTCATATCCCTATCTATCTGTGATCGTAGCCCAATTACATGTGAACCACGTAAACGCTGGATTATATGTACGATTGTTATTTTATATCTTAATATCGTCACTGCTGTAAGTTTTATGTAAGTTTGTTCTTAACTGTACATCTTTTTTTTTTCAGTTTCTGGTTTGGTGGCGACCATTGCAATTGTAGCCATCGTATATGCCATCATTGATTGCTTGAAAAAGACCGGAAGCGCTATTCCGGCATATGCCCGGATAGCCAACGGTTACAGCAGCATCGACAAGTCTTCTAACGCAAATCATTCATCCGACGATGTAGCAATCGACTTAACACCCGAATTGCAACAAGTTCGAAGCTCACAGGTTGGGTTTCCGACGGTAAGGGGGTTTCTTAGCAACATGGCGAGGGAGAAGCCGGTAGCCTTTTCACCCAAGCAACTTGCAGAATACACAGATAACTACTCCACCATATTGGGTTCAGGTGGCTTTGGAGTTGTCTTCAAAGGGATTCTCCCACATGGAGTGCAAGTCGCTGTCAAGGTGCTTACTAACACTAGGGATAAGATAGTTGAAGATCAATTCATGGCGGAAGTTGGCACCTTGGGAAGAACTTACCACATGAATTTGGTAAAACTATACGGCTTCTGCTTTGACCACGAAATGCGGGCACTTGTCTATGAGTACATGGAGAATGGATCACTTGACAAGTTCTTGTTTAGTGAGCATAGAGAAATAGGTTTGGAGAAGCTGCACGATATCGCAGTCCAAACAGCAAAAGGGTTGGCTTACCTGCATGAAGAGTGCGAACAAAGAATCATTCACTATGATATCAAGCCTGGGAATGTGCTTCTCGATAAGAATTTGACTCCAAAGGTTGCGGATTTTGGACTTGCCAAGCTTTGCAACAGAGGAAGCAGTGAAATGTTGTTAACCAAGGGAAGAGGGACACCGGGATATGCAGCCCCAGAGATGTGGAAGCCCTTTCCGGTGACTCAAAAGTGCGATGTTTACAGTTTTGGTATGCTTCTCTTTGAGATTGTTGGAAGGAGGAGAAATTTTGATGAGGATGTAAACGAGTCACGCGAATGGCTTCCAAGGTGGATCTGGAACATGTTTGACAACAATAAATTAGAAGAGGCGCTGTCATTTTGTGGGATTGAAGAACAAGACAGAGAAAAAGCAGAGAGGATTACAATGGTAGCTCTGCTGTGCATTCAGCATTCACCAGAAGCAAGGCCTCTCATGAGCAATGTAGTGCAGATGTTGGAGGGAGATAAGGAAATTGCTTCACCGCCTTCTCCTTTCCAGCATTTGCAGTCACCGCAAGGAAATTTAACACAAGATAGTGGAACAGATGAAGACTTGAGTTCATCTGCATCAGGCACAAAGACTTCTGAACAATCCGAGCGCCATTCTAATACAGCTGTGCAGAACAGATGTGAAATTGAGCTAGCTGCTGTTTAACAGGTAAAGAGATCAATGGTTGCGCATTTAAGTCAAAAGAACAAATATTATTGTTGGTTTTGACACTTTAGTGAAATGATTTCATTTATTGTTGTTGAATGTAATGTAGTTACTGTAAAACATGTATTCTCATTTTTCTGGTTTTTTGTATACGAAAAGGTTGTTGGAACTCCACATAGGACCCACCCGTTCACGTGGATGTATGGACCCGTCCCCTAGCTCTGATACCATATTCTATATAAATGGCCCCGACTTGGATCCACATAGGCCAAGAGATGCCACGTGCATTGGCCCCGCGAACGGGTGAGCCCCAACTTGGCTTCACGTGGTTGTCGATGTGTGGAACTCCACATGGGACCCACCCATTCACGTGGATGTACGGACCCGTCCCCTAGCTTTGATACCATATTCTATATAAATGGCTTGTTCTCAAGCCTTCTGGCCAATGTGAGACAAAAGAATTCTAACAAAGGTTGCCATAAAAGTTGAAGATACTTCATGATGGTATTTCGATTCATCTTTGCTTATAGAAGTGAAGAAATTTTGTAGACCTAGTTAAGTTTAAATATCGATATAAGTTAATAATTATATTATCTCTAGAGCATGTTACATGCAGTATAAGATCCACCTATTTCGTTTGGATAGGACGAATTAAGACAAGTTGCTAGCTAAATATGAGTGGAACATCTAGGCACCAGTTCTGCAGCTGGTGGATCTCCTTCAACTTCTTCCAAGGACGCGTAACCAAGTTGTGTGGCAGCCCCTTGCAGAAATGTCCGATAGTCCTGCTCCCGACAGGATTTATATCTGATGAGCTGCAGTCATACTCTGCAGGAAAAAGAAAAGAGTAGTTAAACATAAACTAGTAGGCGGATCAAGATTAACTAGTAAAACAAGACCGTTATTTAAATGGATTTGTCGTTAAATTCCAATAACAATTAGACCGACGAGACATACATAGATACATGAATACATGGGGAGTAGGAAGGAAATTCGAAAGACAATTTGTACTTTGTACTGTGGTTGTTTTCCCGTTACTAAATGAAGCAACAACAGCAGCGCGAAAACAACGCCATCAATGGAAACGTGTTGCATCAGCTTTGTTTTGACTTGTTCATCCCCTCTTGCAATATCTGCATGTAGGAGTAGATCGCAAATGAATGATATTGCTAATATTCAAAGGACGAAACTTAAATTGTTTCCAGCAAGCAAAGAAGAAGAAGAAACTCTCAGTCAGTCACCGAGGCTTGTATTCTTCATGCGGTTCAATGCGAATGTTTGGGACGTGAGCAATCTTAGACTACTCCTCAGTCCTAATCTCTTTCTTTCTCCATGATAATTGGATGAAAAAGAGCACATTGGACTCGGTAATCAGATCCTCATAATAAGATACAAGTATCGAACTCATTACTCACGATATTCATTTAAAAAATACAAATATCATATACATTAGAATGAAAAACTGTTTAATTGGACGATTTTCTCTAACTTACAAATGAAAAAAATATCATTAAACCATAATATTATATAACTCTCTGCAATATCTAATTTATTTTTGAGCCTTGAATTTTTTTTTCCTTTACTTTTTCGGTTACAAAAGTAATTATATTGTTATTTTATACAGCGAAAGTTTAGAGTTGCCCCTGGAGTTTGGCCACCATTCTCTCTGTCTCTCTCTCTCTCTCTCTCTCTCTCTTTCTCTGTCATCCGACTCATCCCACTCAGCTTTTGTTTTTGATACTGTCTCTGTCTATATGTAAACAAATTGGTTTCCTCCAGCGAATCTCTCTCTCTCATCTCACGTCTCTCTCTTCAGCCTCCCTCGAAAAGTCTCTCCTTTTTTTTTCTGCTTCTCTCGGATTCTGCTTTTGATGTAAAGACATTGATTCTCATCATCCCACATTACAATTCAAACAACGTTTTCACTTGTTTCTGAAAAATTAAGAAAATATAGTGACTGTAATGCTTGCTTGTAAATTTCAAGTAATGGGTTTGTGATACTTTTCAGATCTCCGCAACTTTGCTTTTGGGAAAGTCAAGAGGAGGAGATGTCGAAAGCTGGAGCATTGGATCTCGCATCGGGTCTCGGTGGAAAAATCGACAAAACCGATGTTCTCTCTGCTGTTGACAAGTACTTCTGCAACTCTCTCTCTCTCTCTCTCTCTCAAAAAATATGGATCCAGTGTGAAGTTTGAGCGTTTCTCACTCTAGAAACTTGGATTTGATATTGCATCCATCAACTCTAATCATTCATTGATGCTGATGGTTTTGTTCATTTATTTTGTTTCAGAAGTAAATGCCTAAAGTTTTGATCTTTGTGTTTCCAAAATAAATGCTTGATATTTTGATCTTTGAGTGTTTCTCTCTCTAGATTAAGCTTAATCTTTCTTTATTCTTACTAATCTGGAAGTGGGTTTGAGCTCTAATCTTTGCTTACTATGATGTTCAGAAAGTCTTAATTTCTTTTGGGATTAATTCTGGGTTTTTTTATTTGACAAACTATAGGAAAATTACACGAAATTTACTTAAACTACTGAGAGAGGGATTCAGACTCGAGTTCAGAGGGTAGATTAATGCTAATTTGGATTTGGGCTAGGTAAGCACAATCAAATTAAGGCCAATCTTAATTATCAGATGTCAAGTGAAAGGAAAAAAGAAGTAAATTAATGATCTGTAGATTTTGTGAAGAGATTATTGTTGAGTGGTGCATTTCTGGGAGTGCCTGTAGAGTCACGTGAGTTATGGGGAAGTCTGACATGTGGTGAAATGTCCATACAGCATGTTGTGGAAGCGAAGCTGCTAGCTTAGAAAAGTCGCACGTTAATGAGGGCCACATAAGTATTTAATGGACCCATTTCAAATAGGTCCCAAAGCTTCCTTCTTTCTTTTTTTTGATTGGTTACCCTAAAAAATTAGATAAAAATAAAAATTGAGTTCTGGGAAATTTGCAGTGACTTTGATCTGGTAAGTGGAGGAACTCCTGATGTGTTTGGTGAGGTTTGAATGTTGGTTGTGATGTACTTTTCTGTCAGAAAAAGCTAACCAGGAATTTGGAACTTTTGTTTTGTTGTTGTATATTCCTTTTATCTATATATTTATTTGTGTGGAAACAACCTCTTTGCAAAGTAAGAGTAAAGCTACTTACGATAGATGTCCCCGACCCTGGTTGACTTTGTCTAACACCTTGTTGGTTTGGGGTCGCCTTTTTTAATATATTTATTTGTATTTTTATTTGCCTGGGAATTCATGAATTATAACAATGAAGTACTTAATACTTTTTTTATCTTACCAATAGAAATTGAAATTATGGAAGTAGTAGAAATTCTGTTCTATTTCTGATGTTATCCTTCAAATGACTAAATAAGTAAATAAATATATATATACAGTGGGTTAGAATTTTCATCTATGAATTATGTATGAAATGGAGATGAAAAGTTCAGAATTCTGGGAAAGAACCACTTCAAGGAAGTTTGTTAAATCAGTTTTTCATTCGGCAGCAGTTGTAGTATGGCTATGACGTTCTCATCTTCAATTATGCTTACTCGAATGTTGACTAAATTTGATGATAACATGCCAGAAATTTGAATAGAATTTAAATTGTCAAAGCGTTTTATATATTACCGAGCTACATGGCTTGAATTTCTGAACTTTTGTTTGTGAGGTGACGCAACAAGAATTTTAAAACCAATTTGTTCAATTTTGTGGAATGATTACACGTAAGTTGTAACCAAATATTTACTCTCAAACATGGCAATGCAAAGTTCCTAGAAATCGTTCTGGGATGTAGTGTGAAATTCTGTAACCTGAGCTTTTGCAGTTGTTATGGCATATGTGGTTATAATCTCAGTTTATTGAATAATGGTTCAGGTACGAGAAGTATCATGTCTGTTATGGAGGAGATGAGGAAGCTAGAAAGTCCAACTACACTGACATGGTAAGATAGACTCCTTTATTTGTCTTCTGAGGATTGTCTGTATACAAGCTTCTCTTGATTTAAAAACCCGTCTTAATTTTTTTCGGCTGTTTAAACTATATTTTCATGTTTGGGATCATTGATCTCCTAGGGATTGTGATTTTCTCTGTTGGTTCTACTATTCACATCACTACAGGGGAAAATTTTTCTGTTTCCCAGAGATATTATTCACCATAGAGAATATATATATAGTAAATCTTTGACGAATGCGCATCCCCACGGCCTCAAGGCTTCTTTGTTGTCTCATAATATCACCTAGTTCATGTGATAAGACTCAAGATAATCATACGTGTTTAATTTTGCTCCAGATTTTTTCTTTTCTGATTATTAAGATACATTTTATCGTGTCTATATGGGAAAGTTGGCCTTTGCCATGTCTCTTTTGATTATAAAGATTTGATGGCTCATTGTTGTCAATTTAATCTGATGACCTTTCGGCTCAAGCTTGGGATGGTGTACTTCTAAATTGGTTCATGTGGATTTCAGGTTAATAAATACTATGATTTGGTTACCAGCTTTTATGAGTATGGCTGGGGAGAGTCTTTCCACTTTGCACCCAGGTTCATCTTTTGTTTTCTTATCTTCACATCCAAGCAATGAAGTACTGTCTCTTGTATTAGAGCTTCTGATGGATGTATTGCTCTTTTGCAGATGGAATGGGGAGTCTCTTCGAGAGAGTATCAAGCGACATGAACACTTCCTTGCTTTACAACTAGGACTCAAACCTGGGCAGAAAGTTAGTCTTACTAAGTAGACTATGGAATACAGATTAGTGCAAGATAGATCCGTTTTGGGATTTGGTTCAAACTGTTGGCTTAGTTTTCTGTATTTTTTGTATTAGGTTTTGGATGTAGGTTGTGGAATTGGTGGACCACTGAGAGAAATATCTCGCTTCAGGTGAATGCCGTTTCTTTTATTCAGGATTTAGTTGTGATGGTCCATAGGGTTTTTTGGTTCTTATAAATATTAAAATTGTCACTGAGTTGGACTGAAAACACCTTATGGGAAGACCTCCTAGTATGCATATGGTTTATTCAATATGTAAGATGATACCATTATGCTCTGTATGCTGATGTCAAGTGCAAAATTTAGAGTGAAGTTATTTAATTGTTCAAGAAGAACTCTCTATATTCACAACGATTTTGTGTGGTGGTTTGTGCAGCTCAACATCAGTTACTGGGTTGAACAACAACGAATATCAGATCACGAGAGGAAAGGTAGATAAACCTA